ATTCTTTCAACCCATAGTATACGAGAAAATAAAAAGTTATCATGATGTTCATACCTGCCTTTTTAGTAACTTCCTTGTTTGTTTGTTTGGTTGATTTGGTTTGTTCTGAAGGTGTATTTTGTATGTGTATATTTGTAGGCCTGAGTGTATGTTGGTGAGTCATGTGCAGGTCCTCACAGAGGCCAGCAAAGGAGCTGCCTGATGTGGGCACCGGAATCTGGGGCTGTTTCAAGAGCAGCTAGTACTCTTAGCTGTTGAGCCAGTTTTCTGCCCTTTTAGTAACTTGTTGCAGATTGTAGTGTCCAAGTCCAGCACATTGTCAGAACCCATGAACTCAGTAAGGCTCCGTAAAATGTCTATTTGACAGTGTCTTATGGAACCCTGATTTGAAGTTCTCTTATTGGCATTTTAAAATTTACTACTTTATTATCTGCATTTTATTTTTTCAAAATTTAACATTATTGGTTTCTGACTTTCTCTGTTTTCAGATAGCATCCTTTGACTGTTTTTCAGAGTTTTACAAAATGCATCTTAGTGTCTTCATTTTCCTTCTTTTCTGTACCCCCTTACCCCATGGTTTGTTAGAGGACTAGATGAGAAGTGTTGGAGACAGTTTAGTAAACTTTATAGTGAGCCTGTGAGACAGCCAAGGACAGCATCTGGTCATACGGTTTCGTTTATTTGTTACTTCACAGAATCCTTTCAATGCAGGTATGAGTGGACTTTGTAAAGGGATTCTGTTACCCAGCAAACAAACACATGTCATGAGACAGTCTGTTGATCTGTTCATCTGGATTATTACCAGTTTGCTCACAAATGAGCAGTTGTGTGCCTTTGATTTTCTTGAAATGTTTGCAATGACTCATTGTTCTTGTTTTCTACTTGTCAATTTATTTCTTTCAGCCAGAATTAGTCTATATAGAAAAAGAAATTGTAAGATGATTACTTAAAACAGTATATTTTAAATGGTTAAAAAGTCTGTACGTGGGTGTTTTTCATGTATTCTGTTTTTTTAAATACTAGTTACTTTGATTAATTCTTAATTCATTTATCGTTCATATGTTTAGAAAAATCTCCCATTTTAGTACTGCTTTAATTAAAGTAAATGTATTTTCTTCTTTGCAAAAGATCTCAATCATAAAGGAGAAAAATAATAATTGTACTGAAGAAGATCTTGACAGATAGCACATTTCCCAGAGCTCAAAGCTCAGCACTAATAGGCACAGTAGGATGCAGAGCTTCCTAGTAGAAGGGATGAACACATCCAGGGCCTCAGTGTGTAGCCTGAGCCTGACAGGGAGTCGCAGAGTGACCACACATGGAAGCCTACAAGGTGACGACTGTTCTGTATTACAAAATGTCACTGAGGGGATTGGACCTGGATTTGGTTCCCTGTACCCACATGCTGGCTCACAACCATCTGTAACTCCAGTTCCAGGGGATTTGGTGCCTTTTTAGGACTGTATGGGGACCAGGTACATACTTGGTACACTGGTATATTTCAGGCAAAAGATCCATGCATGTACAGTTAAATTTAAAACAAAAAGAAGTTAAAGACTAATGTGAGAAGCTGTCCTTCAGGATCTTTGTATGAGCTGGGATTTTTCTTTTTGTGTCTAAAATAGAATATGAAGGGATGGTTGTTGAGATCTGAAAAAGAGCTATAGCTTCTAATCATTTAAAGAAATTCTTGGCAATGATGATGGTTACACATAAGAAGATATTTATGAAATACAGATACACATATTTGCACACAGACATGTTCAAGTGCAGTACAAAGGAGAGCGGAAGGGAGATGAGAGAAAAGGTGGCAAAGGTAACTTTATAAGTATGGAAGGAAGGTTTCTGGGAGCTCTTTGTTCTCCTTCTGTACCCTTTTTTATGAGTCTTAAATTATGTCCAAAAACTGTTTCAAAAATTCTACTTTGTCAAATGAATGGATTTAGATATTCACCAGAGTATTGTAATAGATTTGACTATTTAGCTAGAATTGTGGGTGTGTATAGTTTGATTTTGAGGAATTTACAACTAAGCCAGCTTTCCCACTATAGTTTGTATCCTAAAGATTATTTGACAGTAGTTATAGTCCAATAAAAGTGCTTTTTACACTTCACACTCAAAGGAGGTTTTTATGTGTTTCCTCCAATAGGGAAAAAGTATCAAATTGACAATGGTAGTTTAACCACTATTTGTAATTAATATTTTTTCCTTCAGACAGTTGTCACCTAATGCATAATGTCACAAGGCTTCAATTCATTTCTACATGCTTTCGTATGTGTAATGAAAGGCAGCAATGTTTTGAGATACTGAGTTGATGTGATTTCCCCACAGCTTTATCTAACTTATTTAAAGATTTAGACTTATAAGCGTGACTCCCTATTTTTCTACTTTTTTCCTGCTATTCTTTCAGTCCTATATGTTTTCTTGTCAAAATCAACTTATGTTTTCCATGTTCTTTATTCTCATTGGTTATTTGCTTTATAATCCCTCTACTGTTGTAAAAGCACCTTTCTTCTTAAACAGACATTGCCTCTCCCTTTCCCCAGGTTTGTTAGATGCAGAAGTTTCCAGTGTTTTTATGTGCAGGACCAGCCTGTTGCAATATTTCCTGGGTGCTAAACATTTGCACACATAGATTCTCAAGTGTTCCTTCCTCTCTCATTCTTCCTCCTCTTCTTCGTCCTCTTCCTCCCTTTTCCTCCCTCTCCTTCCCTCCCTACCTTTCTTTCTCTGGTATGGATATATTGCTGTGTGTATATCTGTATCCATTTGTGTGCCTTGTATCCACGGAGACCAGGAGAGAGCATTAGATTCCCTAGAACTGGACTTACAGTGCACATCTGGAGTCACAGAGGGTTGGGAGAGATTAGATGCTGGGAACCAAACCCTGATCTTCTGGAAAAGCAGCCAGTGTTCTTAACTGCTGAGCCATCTCACTAGCCTTGCAAGGTTGTTTATTTAGAGCAAGGTTCTCAACCTCGTAACAGTGCAAGCCATTAATATAATTCCTCATGTTGTAACCTCCAACCATAAATTAATTTTTGTTACTTCACAACTTTAATTTTGCTACGACTATTAATCATAATAGACATATCTGTGTTTTCAGATGCACAGGATCTTTGGACCCCAAAAGGGGTTGCAACACACAGGTAGAGAGCCATTTAAAGAGACTGTTTCTCATTTTCTTTCTTAGCCTTGTTGACTTTTTACTTTGGTCAAGTTATTGGTATTAAATTCATCAGCTTATTTGTGTTTTGAGTCTTAGGTAGAGTTGTGTGTTACCAGTAACTACTCTAGTGAAAGTAGTTTTGTTTTGTTTTTGGGTTTTTTTTTGTTTATTTGTTCTTGTTTTTTCAAAAAGATGGTGTAAGAGCAAAGATGAAAACTTTATTTATGATAAGGTGTAATCTTGAGTGACTTTGAGATTTGTAGTACTTGGATTGACAACACAGCTCACTAATAATAGTCTTACCTAACATTGACAAAAACATGGAGTCTGTCCCTAGGACCACAGCATGCTCACACATACGCACACATATGGCGTACACATGAACATGTACACATGCAAACACATGCACACTCACAAACATATACACAACACATGCACACACATACATTTATGTTTACATATGCATACACCCACATAAATACACACACACACAAACACACACACACACACACACACACACACACACGTGTTGAGGTAAATAATTAATATCGACCACTGGTCAAACCGACTGACTAAGCGTGGCTCTGCCTAGCTCAGCGGCCGTGTTTCTCAGCCAGAGGCCACGTGCGCACAGCAGCTAGAACCGGCTCTCCAGAAACACCAGCCCTGCCACCCACGAGACGCCAGCGTGGGAGATGGCTCTGGCAGTCTCCCACACTGTCTCTGTAAGGCTGGGCATTGCCCAGATCATCCACCACCCACAAGGGCCCAGTAGGAAAATGAGACTCTACTGCTTAAATTATCCAAAAGCTTATATGTTTGGTAATGATCAGTAACAAGATGCCCACACAGTCAGAAGTGTAACCCAATACTCAACCTAGATATACCAATTACCTTTGACTGCTACAGACACGTGAACATCTGCTTCCATGTTCCTTCCTCTCTCTCTCTCTCTCTCTCTCTCTCTCTCTCTCTCCCCCCCTTCCCTAGCTCCTCCTCTTCCTTCTCCTCCTCTCCTACTTCCTCTTCCTCTTCTTACTCCTCCCACCTTAGCTCCTCCTACACACACTTGCCTATTCCATTTATTTTTAAGGAAGAAGCATATTCTACATGTAGCTTCCTCCAGGTAGATGTGCCATTTCTAATTCCAATAATTCTCAACTCAAAAGACCTACTAAAGCCTGTTAACTATAGTACTGGAATTTCCCTCTTTGTACATTTTGTTGTTGGTTTGTATCTACAAAAAAGATGAAGTTTCCTGTGCTCTATGTATGTGCACATGGGTGTGTGTGTGTATGGATCTGAGTATACTTACACATGTAAGAGCTGAAGAATAAATATTCCTAATTTTAAGTGTTTTTCAATTCCTTGATAAACAACTCTTCTCTGCCGTCACAAAAAGAACTGTTCTGGATGATGACTGAAGTTGTACTGGGTTGATTGAGGCTTCTCTCAAGTGGGAGCTGCTCCAGGGAAAATGTTAATGTTTCCTCTTAAGAGAGAAGTAAAATTCTAAATGTTCATGTGTAAGTCATGTTTGGCTTTTTTGTTAAAAATCTAATGTGATTGTTTTCTTACAGCAGTTTTGCATGTGGTCACACTGTCAAGTTTGTGTCCATTTGTACACTTTGACTCAATACCATTCTAGCTGTCAGCCAGTCAATGATATCCCACTGGCCTAGCAGTGAAACATTCCTACTTAGAGGTAGAGAAGGAAGTCACCAGGACAGCCAGAGCACAGTGCCTTATACTGGGAGATGTCTTTAAGCAAAGCATTCATAATGTATATCTAGAGATACTACCTGATATTCATTCACCTTGATAAATTTACCTTGTTCTACCGGTAAAACAGTGTAGGTAGTTGTCATCCCAGCATGGACATGGTCAGTCACGTGGCAGTGGAGTAACCAGATTCCAGGTGTTTGGGGAAACATCTCTAGGGTTTGGTATGTTCCAGGGAAAAGGTCAAAGACATCAGAACTGTGTATTCCCCTGTGCTTTATTAGAAAGATGACAAAATATGAGAGTTTATTTAATAGCCTTTAATTAGCTAGCTCAAAATATTAGAGAAAGAAATTAAAAAATTAAATTTAAAAAATGAATTTCTCCATATTTTATGTTCTGAAATATGTAGTCCTCATCTAAAGCCTCAGAACTCTAAGACATCAAGGAAAATGTGAAGAAAGGAATTTATTAGTCCGAACCATGCGCAGTGAATGCCACAGTTCGGGCTTACCTTTGTCAGAGACTTGATCTACACAGAGCAAGCACTCTGTGGCCTGACTTCAACTTTCACTCGTGCTTCTGTTTATAGACTTACCTTGTTCGTGAAACTGTAAGGCACAGAAAGGGCAAAGGTAGCCGAAGGGGAGGCTGGTAGACAACTTAAATGATACTAACATAGTCTCAAATATGTTGCTGGAATATTTCAGTGGAAATAATATTGAAAGCCCATTAATGATATATGTATAGAAGACAGTACAGATTATAAAATGGATATTCTTCAGTATGCCTGGTTTTTTGTTGTTGTTGTTGTTGTTGTTGTTGTTTGTTTTTATTTGGTTGCTTGTGCATTTTAAAAACAGAAAAAAAATGCATCTTCAAGAGGACGGTTGGTTTCCCAAGATAAAGGGTAGTAGAATTGTATTCTTGGGTGTCAGTTGCTTGACACCTAAGTGTTAATTCACCTTGCACAATTTAAGAGGGAATTTAGAATGGACATGCCATAGTGAAGTCTGGGTTCTCGTCTCTGCCGCCTCACCCTTGTGGGAACACTTCTGCCTTCTCTGTCAGCCATTCCATTTAGAATGTGTGAGCAGAACTACAAGAGACAGAAAAACCTGCAAGTGTAAGGACGAGCCCACATTGTGAGGAGGCTGATGTGTCAGTGGAGATGGCATGCTGGGCCAGTTTCTCATGTTCACAGGGATCTCTATGGAAATGTGTTGTTGGCTTGAATTGAGCATGTTGAGCAGTGGAGGAGTGAACGCTGTGGGCGGCTCTTACCTTGTACTGGAAGCTGTGGCCATGGAAGTGTACCGTGTGCAGATCTATTTCATTGCCCATTCCCATCACATACCAGATGACTTCATCGTTCACGTGCATTGTAAGGCCTTGTAGGTTTCCGAACATTTTCCCATTAATAGCTGAGGGGAATGCAATATACTTCAGAGTAATCTTAACCCATAACAGTAACAGGAAATATTACTAGGTTAACACGGCAGAGCTTACTTTACTATGGATGGGGAAAACAGTTCAAGTTCAACAGTATCATTGCTACTTTTCAAGTTACTTTATATGAAGAGCCTTAATCCTAATTATGGATTTACTTCAAAAGGAATGAGGGCTTGGAGTTGGGAGAAAAATTAGTAAAGATTTTAAACATAGTCCATTTTGGTTTTGAACAGAATTTTATATCACGATATTTTTAAATAAAATACGATTTTCTTATTGAAACATGATTTTCTTTGAAAGAAGAAAAGAGTAAAAAAAGGAAGGTAGCTTAAAATAGTGTCTCATACCATGCATTTTATTGCTTTCTATGAATTCCTCGTTGTCTTTGTTTACTTTCTCAGGGTGTTCAGAGTATATTTCGATGTTATCATCTAAGTACCAAGATTCATTCTCATCAAATACTAAAAACAAAAGGAAAAACTCCACTTTCTTTTTAGGATTGAATACTTTCACATAAGATTTCCGACAAACAATCAATGGGCCTATTAGCCCACTATAGAGATCCTGAAAACAAGCAGAAACTACAGTTATCCTGGAAGTGCTGGACAAGATTTCAGAGACCTGGGACCTTATCCACAATCCTAGCCACTTTGGAGGGACTGATTTCAGTGGGATACCTAGTCCAAAGGGAAGCCACCACTTTAGTATCTTTATACTTGATGTGGTTAAATTGAAATAGTGACGAATAGTAGGTAGGTTCTGTGGGTGATGTGGAACTTAGATATGTGAAGAGGCCAAAAATTGGCCTAACTGATGAGCTATCTAAATGAACAGTGTTGGTTATTTATTTCATAAACTCATGAACTCATTGTGATGAGCCAAGTATTATGTTGTTATTATGCATCTGTGGCTGAATGAAACAAAGCCTTTCACTGTAGGAGCTCATATAGGAATAGAAGAAATGTGTAGAAGCCAAGGGAATTGTCCATTGGCGTGGAGAAATGGAGCGCTAATGAGTACCCATGTGAAAGACAGCCTAAGTATCAGTAATAACAAATTGCGTTTTGGATCATCCTTAGGCTATAGCATACTAATAAAATTCAGGTTGTGTCATATGTAGTTTCTGAGACATTGGCCAGGGGATGGCAGCAAAGCCAAATTTTAGTCCAGTCTTAATGGTCAAACGAAGGAAGACTTGGGGGTGGCAGGGGAGTCTGTAAGCCTGGGAGGCAGCAGTTGAAACAGATTCTAAGAACTGACAGGTGACAGGGGAGAGGAGTGGGCTGAGCAATTGTAGGGTCAAATTGTCTGGGTAAGAAAAGTGGTTCCAAGTTTTTGCTTGAGTGAACTGGTAGGACTGGTACTTGTCCTGCTGTTTGTTTGTTTAATTAATTTATTTGTTTCCTTTATATCCCAATCACAGCTCCTCCAACCTCACCCTTCCCTCATTCAACCTCTCCCCCATCCCTCCTCCCCTTCTCCCTGGCATATCAAGTCACTGCAGGACTAGGCCTCTCCCACTGAGGCCAGACAAAAGCGGCTCAGCTAGGGGAGCAGGATCCACAGACCGGCAACAGATTCAGGGACACCCCCCCCCAACCCCCAATTTTGGAACCTGCATGAAGATCAACCTATACGTCTGCTACCAAAGAGCAAGCATGGGCTGGGCCTAGTCTCTCTTGCAAATATGTAGCAGATGTGCTGCTGGTTTTTTACAACAGGAAGTGAAGGAGGTGGAGAAGACCCTTGTAGAAGGGTCCCTACATCTGGAAATTTCTGGTGTAGCTGTCCAGCAGGCAGCTGCATTGACAGCTCAGACACTGGGAGAGATTCTGATCAAGATTTAGTTCTACAGAAGAGTGTGGTGGCCATTGGGTGTTTTTGTCTTTACAATATTTTATTTAGCAATACCCACAGTTCTTGATAGCTGTTGGGTTTACATTTGCATTTAATATTTTTTCATATCAAAAGAAACATAAAATGCATTGTTTTAAAATTCTTATTAGGTGCTATCAATAATCAGCAGGTATGAGATAATTATAACTTTATATTTAAAAGCAAACAAACCAAAAGTATAAACTGAACTAGGTTAGAGAGCAATTTATATTCCTGGGATTTTGACAGATTGGAGCACAGGAAAACTCTGGTAACTGTATCTGCTTTCAATTGTCTATCTGGAGCATCTTACAAAACAGATGGCTTAAAGTTTACCTTAACTCGATCCACCGTTGAGTAATAAGCCCATGGAATACAAGCTGAATCCTCTGTTCCAGCACCTGATCTTTCTGGAATTTGCCATATATAAGTGCGAACTTCACCTAAATTAACAGAGTTACATGTCTGGTTATATTCAGTTAGGATCTGACACACATAATGTGTTTTATATGTATATACATTTTATATGTACATACAATGCATATGTATATATTAAGCCTTCATAACTAGTGATTCAGAAAGTAAAGATGTCAAGGTTGTTATTAAAAAGTAATAGTACTCAAAATTCTTCCAGGAACTTAATTTTTTAACTTTATACTGAGTGTATGTGCACATGTGCCACAGCATGTGAAAGTAGAACTCTATCCTCCAACCGTATGGGTTCTAGAGATGGAACTTGAGTAATCAGGCTTGGCAGTAAGCACCTTTACCTGCTGAACAACTTCTATGATTTGAGAGTTTCTAAGATACACTAAGGTATTTTCATGTCTTTGCATGTATACTATGAATTAATCAGTTCTTATTCACTTGCTGGACTACAAAGCCAAAGGGTAGTCATTTTCATGTCATGGTTTGAAGAAACTGCATAGATCCATCTTTTCTTACTCTGCCACAGAACTTCCTGAATATCTGTCCACAGACCTTTCAGCTACATTCATGCACCTGTCCAGACTGCCCTCTGCCTGATTTGTTTACATAGACCTTACCATTTCCTGCACATATAACACTATCAGATCAGCACTCTGAAGTCTGAAATCCTATACTAGGGAATGGAGCAAGAATTGAGGTCTGGTTTTAAGGAATGTATAGGCTTTTCCCCTGTCTTCAAACTATCACTTTTAGTTCCAATTTTTCATTCTTTGTCTAAGCAGAAAATTTCATTAAGAGCATATAATGTAAATTTTAAACATATAATGTAAATGTGAGACCAACCATCTCCTGCTGACCGCATTTATTTCTACAAATTACTCTTCCAGCCTGCTCTGTTACCAGGGATTGAGTCCCAAAGCCTTAGATTCATCCTTGACACCTCCTTCCTTGACTCCAGTGCCCAATTCCCAGCAGGCCCTTTGGTATCACTTTAAAGTAGCATTGTAGTATCGTGACCTCTTACCCTTTCATCTGGTTCAGGACCATGGCAAATCTTGTTCATTCTAATTCTGGGAATTTTTTTTCCCACCAGGATTTACCTAATTGACTCTTAATGTTGCTATTTCTCCCTTATAGTCACTCATGAGTGGGCCAAAAAAGCTTCTTAAAATCCTTAATCAGATAAATCTCCTTTAACTCAAATCCTTAGGTGAGTGTATAGTATAATACCTTAAATCCTAAGCATAGCCCCCAGGTCCTTTCTCTGTTCAGCTCCCTTCTCTCCCTGTTTCCCATCTGCTAACACTCTGTTCCCCTCTTCACTGCTCTTATCTCTGGGTTCCTTACTATTTCTATGAGACATGAAGCCTCTCACTTTGAGGCCTGAAATACTATCCCACAGTTACCTGAGCTGCACCTCCGTATCACTTAAGTGTCTTCACCCATATCAGGCTCTACTGATGGGCCTATCTAACATATACCATTGTTACTCTCTTACTCGGAAGAGTCTTTTCACAGCTTTGTTAACAACTCAATATTATCTATGTTCATCTTTCTTAGAGGATCAAGAGGGAAGTTTTACTTTATCTTTCTTTAAATTATATAAGTAATTCTATGGAGCACTCTTGTTTGATATATTTAGGTAAGTTTTAAAAACTTTTTTCTGTCAAGCCATTTTATTTTTTATTTTGATGTGTATCACATATCTCAGTTTTTTATCTCAGTTAAACATCTGTTGTGCTCCTGGGACGTGCCAGATACAAATACCCAGGGTTTAAAATTCTATACTGCAGACATTGTCTGAGAGGCTGATATGTGAACATTTTACCCTGTGGTGCGGAAGATGTCACCTCAAATATGTTCTAGTTGAGTGTTCTAATTTAGTCTTCCATGTCTGTAAATGTCTAGTACCTTCATGTTTGTTTTATAGCTGTTCGGCAAATTGTTTTGGTACAACCGTGTGTGTGTATGTGTGTGTGTGTGTGTGTATGTGTGAGAGAGAGATGTGTGATCAAGCATCCACACAGAGCTGTTCCCTGTATCGTTTGTGCTGTGCTCACCTTCCTTTCCTCATTTGGAAAGACTGTTCTTTACAACAGCTAGCATTTGTGGAGTGGTATCTGTGTGATACATCCCTCTCTGCCCAGTACCTGGTAACGCTGGAACAACTGTGGGACTCTCTGTTTTCACCCCATGGGCATGTATTGAATATGGCCTGGTTGCCATATTTTTAAAGACAACTTTAACTTTATCTCCAACATCTGCATGAATTGGTGGACCTGGTAAAAATGAAATGGAAGGGCAGCTTAGTAGACTGGAATTTCTGTCAGTGATCAAGGCAAAAAATCACATAACTTTTCAGTGTGCAAGATGGAGTACTCTCCCTTTTTTGCCCATGGTTTTGTGCTTTTACAGTCCATTACGGTCTTATTTCTGGTCCCAGAAGATGTGCATAAGAACACTAGAGATGGCTTCTCTAAATCTGAAGACCATAGTGTATCTCTTATCTAAAGTTCCAGAGGATGATGAGCCTAAAATCCCCAGAGGGTCAGACGTCTAACAGGGAGAGCTGGTGGCAGGCCAGGAGTTGCTTTGCATAGCTTACTCTCAGGACTCAGTGTTTGGACTTAAGCTGAGCATGAAGTTACCAAAGGATTGTGCTGTCAAGGTTGAAGCCGGCCCTTCAGCTTCTGCTCTACAGATACCTGGAGCTTTACCTGTGTACTTCTGTTATCCTCAACAGTGCCAATAGCACTAGAGCAGTGTTTTTCAACCTAGGATGTCAAATGACCCTTTCACAGGGGTCACCTAAGACCATCAGAAAACACAGATATTATGATTTATAACAGTATCAAAATTATAGTTTTGAAGTAGCAAAGAAAATGATTTTATGGTTGGCGGTCACCACAAAGGGTTGCAGCATTAGGAAGGTTGAGAACCACTGATCTAGAGGATCTTACCAGGGAAATTCTGATCCTGCGGAACCATTGAAGGTTTAAGAGTGCAGTACCTCATGGGTTTCAGATTACACATTCTGCCTTAATGTGGCTCCTGAAAACCTGAAGGTAACTTTCCCCTGATCCCGTGTAAGGAAACCCATTGTCTCATCCCCATATATATTTTTTTCTTGTAACTGATTACATTTTAATTTTTCAAGTAAAAGAGACGCTTCTTTTGGTGGGGGTTAGTGGAATAAAAAGGAGAATTTGGCTCAGGTATTTATTCAGAGGTATTTTCTAGGAACTTCACCAAAACTATAGGCATCAAGTATAAATAATTGTATCAGTCTATGGCATAATGGAATAATACATTATTCCTGACAGAAATAAGTGATATAATCTGTATTCTTTAGCAAACACAAACTTCGCGCTCCCTCTCTCTCTCTCTCTCTCTCTCTCTCTCTCTCTCTCTCTCTTATAAATTGAATGAGGGTTTTGGGGGTTTTTTGTTTGTTTTTGTTTGTTTTTGTTTTTTGTTTTGGTTTGAATAGCTTTGATATATGAACCTGGAAAATGCAGCCTATATCTATGATGCTGCGGGCAGCTCCTGGCACTAACATAAGGCTACCAAGATAGGGCTGTCACCTTACCGAGGATGCCCAAGTGTTCATCTTCAGCTCTTCTCTTCACCTGTTCTCTGAATGTGCTGTCAGTAAACTCACGATACACAACCTTTTTGTACTTCGATCCTATGAAAAACTCTTCCTTATCCAGAAATGCATTTGAAACACTAGAAATGAAGAACCAGTGTAGGTTAGTATTTGTTTTCATGAAAGAAGAGAAATTAAGTTTTGAGTAAAAATTCTTGTGAATAATTATACTCATTAAAAATTATTTTCCACCCCAGTGAGAAAAAAAAGATTTTAAAATAGTGAGGTGTGCTATAAAGAGGCCTGTCCAGTGTGCTGCTGCTTCAGTCCTGGCCCTGCCTCTTGTCTAGCTGAGCTGATACACTGATCCTTACTATCTGGAGAAAGGAGTTCTTGTGCCCCTAAAGAGAGGCATGGATCAAATCATCTCATCCTGGTTTCCCACTCAATCAGAATTAATGCAGTATTTTCAGTCAATAAGAACTGAAGTGGCACATTTAAAAAAAAGTTTTAGTTAACTAAATGATTTCTTTTAACCACTTTATTCAAGCATAGAAACAGCCTTTTAGCCCTGTCTCTCTCAGACCACACTTAGCACTGAAATCAAACTATGAAGCTAGCCAGTGTCAGCCAGGGCACCCTGAGTCTCCCTGCCCCACTGCTCACACTAGTTCCTCAGATCATGTTCACATGATGTCACATAATGAAAATGGCGTGCTAGAGGAGGCACGCCTGGGGGGAAGGGGGCCACTTAGAGCATCAGGTGATGCCACATGGTACTGAGATGAATGTTTCTAATGTTCCTGAGGCCATTTTTTTGACTTGGATTTATTCTTTCTGATTTTTTAAATACTTTTTTTTTTAACAGTGTTTGTATCCTTAATGGCTTTGAATGTAGCTTTGATTAAGATCTTAGTAGAAAAAAACTGCTAAGTATTTAAGAAGCACACAGCAGATCTAAGGCTATAGAGTGACTGATTATTATACTAGCAATGAAACCAGGAGGATGAAGTAAGCCACACTGTAGCTGTTCTCAGTTTGGAGGAGTTTGAAGGTGAGAGGCAGTCCACCAGCAAGGCTCTGGGAATCTGAGACTGGAAAGTTACTTTTGCTCTTGCAAATGATGTAGCTCCTTTTCCCAGTCCCTGCTTGGTGAATAATCCCATTCCACCTCTACTGCTGCAACATAGTAGGTCCTTTCTCCCAGGTAGACAGTGAAATCTTCAAACTTCTGCTTGCACTGGTCCACAGTGTATTTTTGCTTCATGCCACCTGTGTAGTGATCTGTTGTAAGACACTCAACATCAAAAGTCCCTGGAGTGGCAAAACAGGAAACTTGTCACATTTTTGCTCAGTATTTTTATTTCCCAAACTTTCTGAGCATGAATTATTACCTCCGATCATCAGACTTTCCATACCTTTGATCCTGACTCACCCACTGCTCACTCTCCTCCAGACACAGAAGTCTCTTTACTGTCCTAAGAACCAGCAAAGGGTGTATCTGTCTGAGGACATCTGTTAGTCTCCCTGCCTGAACTTCACAGATGAGTGCAAAGCTCATGCTTAAGACTATCTCTCACTCTTACCCATCACCCCCTTCTCCTTAGTTTTACTCATGGACTTACAGTTACCTGATCTTGAGTAGCACACAGTGAATCAAGTAAGGCTATAAACAGGTTAGTATATTTTCATAATCTGATTAACATTCTTCCCTCCTTGTTTCAAGTTGAGTTAATCATGGAGAGCCAGGCCCACAGATGTGTCTGATTGTGCTTGGCTACAATTTTAGTATAGAATTCCCAATTGTAAGCCATCAACAAGCCAACCCCACATCAAAGCTGTAGAGGCAATATGAAAGTTACATTAGAGCACATGCAGGAGTTGTTTCTTCTAGCCTGCTTTTCCCATCTTTAAAGGACCTTAACTGAAAGGGGATCATCTCTTGAGAGTCTGCTGTTTCAAAGAAGAAAATCTCAATCTCTCTCTCTCTCTCTCTCCCTCTCTCTCTCTCTCTCTCTCTCTCTCTCTCTCTCTCTCTCTCTCTTGCTCTCTCTCTCTCTCCCTTTATCTCTTTCTTCCTCTCTCTCTCTCTCTCTCTCTCTCTCTCTCTCTCTCTCTCTCTCTCTCTCCCCCATTTTCTCTTTCTCTCTCTCCTCCTTTTCCCCGCTCTGTCTCTGTCTTTATACCATCTTACTCCACCCATGTATTGGAACTAGGTTCACCTGATGTCTGCTTGAACATCAGTGGCCCAGTAACCCTCTTAAGAGAATTGGGAGGCTTTGAAAGTTTATCACTCAGTATGCTATTTTATAGAGATTTCAACCAAAACTACATATATTTACCATCTTGGCAAATTTTATTTCAATGTGATACAAACTAACATCATTTGAAAGGAGGGATGCTCAGTTGAGAAAATGCCTCTATAAGACCTATAAGATATTCTCTTAATTAGTGATTGATGGGAGAGGGCCCAGCATCTTGTAGGTGGTTCCATCCCTGGGCTGCTGGGCCTGGGTTCTATAAGAAAACAGGCCGAACAAGCTATGAGGAGCAAACCAGTAAGCAGCACCCCTTCATGTCCCCTGCATCAGCTCCTGCCCTGTTGGAGGTCAGTTCTCTCCCAACTTCCTTCAGCGATAAACAGTGATACAGAAGCTGGAGCCAAATAAACTCTTTCCTCCTCAAGTTTCTTAGGTCATGATTGTTCCTCAATAGTAATCATAATTGAGGCAGTGACCTATAAGAGAAATATACCTTCTGTGTCAGGCTTCATCAGAAGAGTGAGACTTTTATGAGGAAATAGGTTTGCAGTGTCTCTTCTTTCTCCTTTGGACAGATAAGTATTTCCTGAAAAGTATATCCCATGCACATCTGCCTCATTTCCAGCGCTGAACAAATACCACACACTGGATTCTCCTAGACACATATTGAGGCCAGGCTGATTGCCATACATGAATCCATTCATGGCTGCAAATGTTGGAGGAGGGGGAGGAGAAAAAGGTTTGAAGATAGCATATCCTGTTAAATAAGATGTTGTCATGACTTCCTCATGTAAGGACACATTTATGTTTCTCCATTGTGTATATGTCAGAAATGCCTCTGCTGACCCCAGAGCAGCCTGGCTACAGGGAGCAGATCTGAGTTCACATAGCATGGACTTCTGTGTCTCTACCACTCTGGGGATTTCAGTGTTTTCAGCTGGAATTGAATTCCAGGATGTTTTTCTCATTTCTATCAAAGGTCATGTTTGTGAGCAACTGTATCAGGGAATAACACCTGCTTACACTGGGTGTCACACATTATCAGGGAATAACACCTGCTTACCCTGGGTATCACACATTTTCAGGGAATAACACCTGCTTATCCTGGGTGTCACACATTGGCCGTGTGTTTGTTGTTTCACATGCAAAAGTCCCTGACTCATCGGAAATAAATAGGAAAAATCGTGTGTAGGAAAGTTTCTCTCACTGCTTATCCCAAAAGATGATATTGTAGAATTTAAAGTGAGGATTATGGATAGTGTGACTAAAATTATTGCAGCTTAAAAAAATTAGTGTGTACTGCAACTTTACAATTTTTACTTCTACCAACTACAATACTGACTATAGCTAAAGCATAATAAATCTGATGCTCATTCTCATTTAAATAAAATGGCTGGCGGCTTCCCTGGATTTTAATAATTTTAAAAGTTGTAACATGGTTCTGATGAGCAATCAAGTGTAAAAATCAGGATGGCACAGAGTTCGTATTTTTGGATCATTGAAAAATAAGAGGAACCTGTCATTACTGGGCTACAAATGAGAAAAGCGCCTAACCCGCTATTCTCCAATAGAGTATGCCATCAGAACCAGGTAAAGGATTTGTTAAGTACACATTCCTGGGACTTATTCCAGTGTTTATAATTCAGCAACTCAAAAGTGAGTTCAAGAATTTGCAACTCAAACAAGCTCTTGGGTAAAACAGGCTGTTGATCTAGGGACCACACTTTAAAGACACATTCAGGGGCCAACAAAAAAGCTCAATTGATAAAGGCACTTGATGGTCAGCCTACCAGCCTCAAGTAAACCCTGAAACCCAAATGCTGGAGAGAGAAAAGTGACTTGTGCAGGTTGTCCTACGACAACCTCCACAGGCACTGTACCACATACTAGCTCTCTCTCTGTTCTTCTGTTTCTCCTTTCCATTTCCACTCTCCTCTGAATAAATAATTTTTTTAAAAAGATACATTGGATATGCCTGAGTTTGAGGCCATACTGGTCTACAGAGCCAGTTTCAGGAAAGTCAAGGCTACATAAAAAAAAATCCTGTCTCAAAAAACCCAATAAGTAAATGAATGGATAGATGGATGACACATTCATCAAATTAGCATGTATGCTATATCTGGTTATTCCATAGGGAGATTCTTTTTGCTTGTTTTGTTGTTTGTTTACTTTTTATAACCAAAGATATTGCCATCAGAGTTCTAGTAAGTGTTTGCTGTATGTAATGAATATAAGGTAATGCTGACAGATGCTGTTCACTGGGGTTTAACTGATACCATTATCTATGCAACACTAAAGTGGCCTGGGCAGGTGAAGGAGACGCATCACTCACAGTGCATCTTATTAGACTCCTGAAAGTCTTCGTCTTCCTTATCCACCTGGTCAGGTGCAGTTGTGAACATCCTAATATTATCATCCAAGAGTAAACTCTCATTCTCATCAAATACTGTGGCAAACAAGTAGAACTCCTTGTCTACATCTTTCTGCAAATAAAAATAGCATGAGATGAAGATAGAAAAGTAATGCAAAAGATTTCTATGTACAATACTCTGTATAAACCATTTCAAGAAGTGTGAACAGAGGTTTCAGTTCCCCATTAAACTTGGCCAATGATATATTCCATTTGGTCACCCAAATTTTCACTGGTGTCTCTTGAGGATTTATGGTTTACTAAGGTAACTTTCTTCCTTCATGTCAATATTGCTCATACAAATTGAACTACTAAGTTATTCAATTGTACATGTTATAGTTTAGATTTGAAATATCTCGAAAGTCATCTGTTAAAGGATTGGTTCCTAGCTGGTGGCTATTGGGTCGTAATGGAGACTTTATGTTAGGCCGACATGAAGGGACAAGGTCATTTAGATTGTACTCTTGAATATGGTAGAATCTGTCCTCCTCTCTCTGTCTCCCTTGATGTCCCATCTCCCCGCCCCTCTCTCCCTTCCTCTTGTAGACTCCTTGGCTATCTATCATGAGGATGAAAAGCTTTCTTCTAACATATGCATGTCTGGTTCACTACAACCCAAATTGAATGGAACTAGCTGACTGTGACTGAACCCTCTAAAACCAAGAGCCAAAATAGACTCCCATCCTTTAAGTTATTTGTTTTGGATATTTTGTTGCAGAGATAAAAAACTAATGTGGTAATATCTATGTCCTAGAATCAGGAAAGATGCCCTCCACATTCATGAAAGAATTCCAGTAAGAATTCCTATAGGCCACACAGATCATCTTCAGTGAGGAAATGGCATGCCAAGGAGCTAGAAGATGGACCCATACACCCTTCAGGCAGGTTAAAACAAAATAAACAAAAAGTAGAAATACACCGGGCGGTGGTGGCGCACGCCTTTAATCCCAGCACTTAGGAGGCAGAGGCAGGCGGATTTCTGAGTTTGAGGCCAGCCTGGTCTACAGAGTGAGTTCCAGGGGCTATACAGAGAAACCCTGTCTTGAAAAACAAACAAACAAACAAACAAACAAGTAGAAATACTATCTAGTTTAGAAAATAGTCCAATCATTCAGAAGACAATCAGTCCGTGGAACCAAAGTGAATGAGCTCTCAGGGAAGAGAATCCTAAAGCCTTGTTTCTCTTTCTCTTATGATTCATTCAAGTGGAACATGACTGTCAAAGTGAAAGCAGCTAACTAATATGTAGAGTTGACAGATCCTTCACAGAATTCCATCAGTGATGAGGGTTGCCTAGTTTGAGTTTCTTGATGATTTAGATACACTTAAGTTACTCGTGTTCCTGTAAGTAACTTTAGTAAAGTCACCAGTTCACTGACCTAGACTTGGGTAGGATCACTTCTTTGGGCTATTGATGGAGTGTCTGGGGCTGAACAGATACTTTTTCTCATCTCCATGGGAAAGTTCCTACTACTTGCCTCAAATGTGATTGCCCTGCCCACCCCCTTCCTGGTTCTTATTTTTGTTTTTTGAGACAGGTTTACAAGTTCCTCTGTGTAGCCCTGACTGTCCTGGAACTCTGATCTATAGATCAGACTGGCCTCAAACTTACAGAGATCCACTTGGTTCTGCACCTAAGTGCTGAGATTAAAGGTGAGTGCTTCTGCTCCTGGCTAAATGTGGTGCTCTTGTCTCAAGCACTAGGGCTCAGGGCATGTGTCTCCAGGCCCAGTTTAGAAGACCCTATCTGTATAATTTTGCTTTTTTTTTTTTTTTTTTTTTTTGTTTAGGTAGCTGGTGATAGTCTTGAGCTCTTTTTCTCGTTGGACTTCCCAGATGCTGAGACTAGAGGCATACAGATCACATGACAGGATCCCTTATCTCCAGAGATACATAATAAAATACTTATGTAGATTTAAAAATGATGGGATTGTGGTGGCGAGTCAAAAGGTTATTTTTTATTGCTAATTTTATCACAAAACCGTATGCATTCCATATACAATGCAATTTCTAATCCACTTGAGATATTTCTATGAGAAAAATAAATGTATAATACTTTTAAAAACTGTATGATCTTACTATGAAGACCAGAGTGTTTTCACATTTTTGATCCTCCTGCCTTACCATACATAGTGTTGGGATTTCAAGTGTACATCACTATGCTCAACCATAATATAAATCTTATAAATTGGAGAAAATTTTAAAATAATACAAAAATCGTTGGTGACTAAAGCCTAGAATTATTCTTATAGTACAATATAAAGCAGATTAGGTGTCATTTTCCCTCTCCCCTGCCTGGGCTTACCTGTCTCCCATCTGCACGTAAGCTGCCTTTCTTGCATATTTTCATTGGCCCAATAAGTCCAGTAAATATATCTTTGGTGGGGTCAACGCCAGAGTAATACATCTTAGATAGGCACACAGGATCTGCATAAGTGGGTCCCATTGTGGGGGGCACAGTCCATTCATACGTAAAGGTTTCTTTGGGAGCCACATGGGAAGCTGCTTGAGGAGAAGGATATAAGAATAGTCACAGCAGATAGTTACATATGTGCTTTCAAATGTGACTACAGAGTCACAGAATGGGTTAGGTTTAATAATACACCTCTAAGTTCCTTGGTTCTAATTAAAGCAGAATCCTCCCCCGTCCCCTTGTGCTACTTGTCACATTTGTCATACTGGTGTGATAAACTCAAGAAGCCCCAAATGTGTACCTAAGATTGATCTCCCTCTTTGTGTTCAGATATGGAATATGTCTATTTTCTTTCAAGCAGAGCTAATGTTGAAGGTAAATACCATCGCCTCTATCCTTCTGTCAGGTGCAGCAGTGCCTGGCAATTGTGGGTAATCAGTTCACTTTCTGTAGACCAAACTGGACAGAAAGTAATAGTAGAATTGAAAGGAACTTAGCCTGTGATCCTTTGCGAATTATCTAGATTCACCTGAAAGCGAAGCCAGAGAGCTTTGATAACCAGCCTACAGTCATGCTGCAGTTGGTAGCAAAATTAGGAGCTTTCATTGATATGTTTCAATGAAATTATTTGAATATATTCTCATTGTTGGATATTTTGTATCACTGAAATCATATTAATAAATGTATATAATGGTAAGAGCAAACATCACAAAACTATAATGCCAGTATATTTATACAGTATAAACTCAACCATATTTAATATATGTTGTATATACACAGATGAAAGCAGAAAGATTAAATACACATACTTATATGTATATGAAATTATGGGTTTCTAATAGTTTTGATTATAGCTTTCTGTATTTTTCAAATATCCTAAAATGAGCCTCTAACCTTAACATTGCAGGACCTTAAAAAAATTCACCTAATAGTATTTCAGAAATGTATAATTGATACAGCTTAATTCTCATTAGGGTTGTCAGTAGTTATCCAATTAAGACACAACAAAATTCTGTAAACTACTTGGAAAGGATAGGAAAGAGTTTTACTTTCTGTTTGTATTATTCCTAAAAGTAATATGGGCAACGTTTGGTATCCTGTCTTCAGCTTTCTCAGGACTGAATTCTCTACTCACCTTTCCTTGAGGAGTGGCCAGGTTGGCCATAGTGTGTTCCCTCATTTTCCTTGGTGAGTCTTACTCCCATTGGCTGAATGCTGAGAGGATGTTTTCCCTTGTTATGAAAGGTGACTTTAATGATGTCTCCTACTTCTGCCCAAATGACAGGACCTAGAGACAAAGAGAGCATACATTATTTGTCCTGGGACATAGGTTGTAACTGTGTGTCTGACAAGTTGGAAAGCCTGGTGTTTTTAAAAGTCTATTATTGCTACAATGTAGTAAATTTGAAAAAAAGGCAAGTATTTTTTTTCTTTTATCCAACTTGAGAGAAATTACTTTGGCTATTGTTTTTCTTTAAGTAAGTAAAAATTGCACATCACAAAACTAATTTATAGTGTTTACACACCTATAAAATACCTGGAGTATCTACACTTTCTTCAACCTAGTGATCTGGGTTGTGTGGCCTTCGCCCTCAGTTATGGTAAGTTTAAGTTGGATGTGACAGATAACAGTGTTTTAGAATGTAAAACTCTAAAACTGATGTTACCAACTTTAGAGTAAAGATATAGCTATATAGTACACAAATGCTTGATGTAATATCCAAAAAGACATTTATTGAGGGCATTTATTATCCTTTCTTCTAAGTGTTCATGGCTTACATCTAACCCTTACTACGTACGGTTTCACAAGGAAATAACCGCTATTGTTTCAATTTTATAGAAAGGAGCAGGCAAAAAATAATAAGTCAAATTCAAAAGACACCCAGCTGGTAGATAAAGACAAAGACTGACTCCTTAGTCTAGACTGTGTTTACCGTTTATGAGAGAACTCGGAACTGCGAGCAGTCCCTGGGACAGATCCAGCCAGGTTCATTAGTAAGCTCACATTTGGTTTCTGAGAAAGTGCACGTTTGGCTAAGTCAATTATTTAAACCAACTCAAACAATTTCCCTTATCTCTCTGAAGAGATAAGTACTCATTTGCAGCCATCATGATATAATGAAATAGTGAAAAATTATGACTGATAATTTTTGGGACAGGAGTGAGCTGCTATGTCGGGTTATACCAATCTCCCCAGCCTCTATGTAAGAATCATACTGCAGGTCCTGACACTTTTGTTCTTCCTGAGGTTGGGATAGCCAAGAAGAAAGTGCTTTAGTCATGCATGTTCAGCTTGGACTCACCCAGGATTCCAAGATGTTCCTCATCGGGGCTTCTTTGTTTTTGGTTTGTGAAGGAACCATCTGTGTACTCACGATAAATCATTTTTTTATAAGAGCCACCAATTCTTGTGGCACCTTGCTCAAAAAATACCCTCGAATCACTGCCAAAAGGAAAAAAAGGGGGTTGATTCTGGTGTGGAGTTAGAATAGAGGTGGCGATTTACTTAAGGCTCTAACTGAGGAGAAGAGTCAGCCTAGTGCTTAGTGCCGCATGGCTGCCATGGTCAATGGTCCATACTAATTTCACTAAAGAGGCACACAGACCTAGACCACTCTTGAGGTTTGGTGAAGGTGTAGAAAATCAAGGAGAAAGTTACAGTTTAAAGTGAAGTGAGAACAAATTTCAGTATGACTATGTCATCCCTGTTCTATAGTAGACTCTTTACCCCTTTGTATAGCCGCTGTTCTCCGTTGGGTACAAGCATCAGCTTAGTGCCTGCCTTTATTTGCTAGAAATCAGGTGATAGTGCAGTTGCTAGTTTTCTTCCCACTTACTAACAAAGAAATTCAATTTTAGAAAGTGATATTATTTTTACAGAGTCACCCTATTCATCTCTTCCTTTGTTTGACAAATGGCTTGGCACCAGCTTTTTGCCCGGACCTCTGTACTGTGTTGGTGAAATAGTGATGGGTAAGTGAACTCCCCATCCAGATGCATCACATCTATCAGGTTGTACTTGCATGCTGGCAGACAGTGGCAAAACAATGCAGTTTTGTGTATAAGAGCAGAAAACTGATTCATAACATGCAGTAGCCTTGAATCTGAGCCGACACAGAGCAGCATGCAGTGTGCAAATTGTGCATGTTGTACATGTCGGTCCAAGGCTACGGAGAAGCTATGGGGCAGAACAGAGGGAAGCACTGTCAAAATCACCTTGGATTCATGATGTATTAGATTTTAAACTAGCTTTTGGTTGTTGGACATTGAGAAAACTTTTACTGTTGACAAAATGTTTGTGATACCCATATTCATTTGCTTAGTCTCACATGATGGCCCACAGTTGAAGAAGATGAGCCCAGAAAGCACTGCAGAAGCAGAGGATTTGGGCAGAAGAGTTAGGAATGACGCTTAGAGAGAGAGGTGGGCAAGGGGACCTGGTTAAGGCTTTGATATTCCATTCCATGGCAATAATGAAGGGTTTAAGGCTTCAGTATGAGTATTTTAGGGGAATTCCTCCAATAGATGCTTAGAGAAAATGTTAGGAAATAAAATACTGTATGAAGAAGGCCAGTCAGAAAACAGTTATTATAATTTCTGTGAAAGACAGTGAGAAATTTGGTTATATTGGTGAAGAGGATGGAGGAAAGAAGACAGCTTTCAGAGAAATGTAGACTCCAGTGATTCAGTGCCTTGGTGAAGGAACGGGAGTCAGGACAGTGTGTAGGCTTGGCAGCAAGCACCTTTACCCACTGGGTCATCATCATGATGCCTGCTGGCTTTTAAGATATTACCTTCTCTTCTTTGTGGAAAGCAGCTAATAGGAAAGGAAGATGAAAAAATGCAAAGAATGCATCATCTTATAAAAACAAGCCTGACATATCCAAAGAGTCACTTGTGTGAACCAGAGGATACCATACGGTGAGGGAAGGACTAGACAACAGGAGAAAATACTCTGTTGAGTGTCTGATGAAGGGATAATATTCAGGCTATGTAAGGAACTCCCAACTAGTAAATATCAACAGAAACAACCCAAGTCAGAACTGAACAAAGGATATAAACGGACATTTCTATGAAGAAAATTAATGTATGGCCAATAAGCCCTACATAAATACTTAACATCCTTCATCATAAAGGAAATGGTCTTTGTGGAGTGCTACCTTTCCAGAGCTGTTAAGTTCTCTCCAGTGAAGATATCAGTCCCAGAAGGAGCGTAGTCCCAGATGGTCTCCTCAGCAGCAATGTAGTAGTGTCTCACATGTCCATCTTGTATATTATCTGCTGTCGAGGGCTTGTTACAGTCACGAACCTGGAAAAAGGCCTGCAAACCGGCTGAAAGAATCCAGGGAAGGCTCTGATGAATAGTGACAATTGCTCAAGAGGCAGCATGTAGAGATTGAATCAATCCACACAGGTAATACAACAAACCATGATAAACATGTTTACAGACTACAGGTGGAAAGTTACTTTTAAAACAGATGTATGTCTGTTTTATGTATATATGACATTAAGAAGCATATGCGTGTTCAAAATAAGATACCAGTCTTTGTGGGATTACCCTTCAAAGTCTAGACATTCAATATCACATACCCATTAAAATTTTAACTGAATCAGCCTTTTATTTTGAGAGAGTTGGCTGTTTCAAAATAATACTCTTTGACGGAATTACCTTTCAAGGGGTAATTTTTTTCAAAGTCTAATTTCCTCTGGAGATTAATTTTATAAATAGATTTTAAGAACTAAGTGTTTTTATACCTTGCATCACAGAGAGAAATGACATTTAGAAGCTAAGGCAAAGAACAGACAAATCACAGATGAATAAAAAAGTTAGTTTTACTTGACACAAGTCAAAAAACAAAGCTACTCTCCAGCATAACATACAAATCTGTTTTTATAGTACTCTATTCTACATTGAGAAACTACAAATGTTGCTATATCTTTATGGCAGAACCCATTGCAGTATTCTACAAAATAATATTTTTTACATATGTCATTACTTTATAAACATTCCAGGCTTACCTGCTCTTAGTTCATTATGATGTAAACATGGAGATAAAACTAAGGCAATAATTCAGTGTTCCAATTACTTAACTTACTTATTCCAATTACTTATTGGTTCTGTTTCTCTTCTACCGTTTACTAGAAGACTAAGACAAAACCTTTTTTACAACTGGCAGTTAACTGGAGGCGAAGACATCTTACCTTTCAGATGGTTTAGGTTCTGGCAACTGAGCATCCAGACTCCAGGATTCTGGGCTACCATATAAGCATCAATTAAAGTGGCAGGGAACAGGTTGATTATATCAGTTTGATAGTTTTTGCTGGTCAGAGCGTGACCATGAAAGAAAGCTGAATGCACATCAACTTCATTACCCATACCAAAAAGGTACCACTTCACTCTGTCTTCTGCACACATCGAGAGCCCTGGGAGGCTTCCAAATGTATATCCATTTATAGCTGCAAATCAAAATTAGAGTTTTTGGCCCATCGACATTAGTGCTTGGACTAGTAAAAGTTACCTTTACAAAATGCAAAGTCAGTTTAGTATAGAAAGTATCTGCCACAACAGTAGTTACCTTCTCCCCCTTATCCATGCCAGACATTGCTAATCAATCACATACTCTTTCATTTTTGGACTTTAATTCAGGCTAAGGGCCATTGTCAATACTATACTGAAGATGTGCTATTAGGTGCACTATTAGAAATAAACCTTCTATGGTCTGATGTTTATAAACTATGCACATTGGTTTTATATACGTGTGTATATAAATATGGATGTGTCCATATACATATAGAAAGTGCTCCTTTAAAGATAAAGAACTAAATATTTAATAATCAGTTATTAACTGGGCTTGTAGGCAAAGGGCAGATGATCTAAATTTTTTCTTTTTGCTTAAAACTTTTTTTACTTCTATGAATTTCTTTTGTAATAACAAAACAAGTAAAAAAAATTCTAAGATTGAAAGACAAAATTCAAAGAGATTTGAAGAAAGAAAAATTCAGGAAGGGACAGAAAGGACCAGAACCAGGAAATCCTGAAAGCTCAAAAGCATTATAGCGTGAGACCCTTGGAAGAAACCAAGGGTCATTGTTCAGTTGGGCAGTTCTGGGAAATTCCTATGGAGAGGCATTAATGTTAAGGACCGTTAGTATACCAGGTGTGAGAGAGGAAACAAATCATATCCATTCAGCCTAGAAATTTGAGTCTTTTTTTTTTTTTTGGCTTTTCGGGACAGGGTTTCTCTGTGTAGTGCTGGCTGACCTGGAACTCACTCTGTAGATCAGGCTGGCCTCGAACTCAGAAATTCTCCTGCCTCTGCCTCCCAAGTGCTGGGATTAAAGGCGTGCACCACCACCGCCCGGCGAGTCTATTTTTTATTGTTTGTTTTTGTTAATAAGATAGCAGAGGAAAAGGTGAAAATGAATAGAAAGAAGATACTCATGTCCACAAAAACAAAGCAAAGACTTTTAGATAGAAAGTTGGTAATAACCTCATCTTCTAATTTGGAAGTACAGTTATTGTTTTCTCGGTTTTTAAGTAAAGATCATTTAAAAGAAGCTAAAGGAAAATAAAATGTATACTTCTGGATCTAATTATTGTTAAGGTATTTACTTTTTCTTGTAAATTCTGAGGGTTAGATAACCCAGTTTCATTATTTTTGCCTCCTGGGAATTAAGGAAAAGCTTGGGCTGTTAAGAAGACATTTTTAGGAGACACTTGGCACAAGCTAGAGTTATCTGAGATGAGGGAGCTCAGTTAAGAAAATGCCTCCATAAGATCCAACTGTAAGGTGTTTTCTTAGTGCTTTATGGAGGAGGACCCAGCCTGTTGTGGATGGTGCCACCCTTGGCTGGTGGTCCTCAGCTCTATAAGAAAGCAGACTGAGTAAGCCATGAGAAGTAACCCAGTCAATGCACTCCTCTGTGACCTCTATATCAGCTCCTGCCTCCAGGTTCCTGCACTGTTTGGGTTCCTGTCCTGACTCCCTTCAATAATGGATATGATATGAAAGTGTAAGCCAAATAAACCCTGTCTTCTCAACCTTGTCTTTGATCATGATGTTTCATCATAGCAATAATAACTCTAACTAAGGCACATATCAAATTGCAAGTCCAATAGGGTTTGATATCAGGCCTTCAGGCTAGAAGTATTCATGGGAGAGAATAATCTTAATTATTGAAGCAAAATAAAGCATATCTTTTGTAGTCTTACAGTACATCTTGTTGCTTTCCTGGAAATCTTCATTGTCCTTATCAACTTTCTCTGGTTCAGAGCAGAAGGTTTTGATGTTATCTTCTAGATACCAGCTGAGATTTTCATCCACCACATAGAACATTACTACAAATTCTTGGTCAATATTTTTCTCTTTTTCCTTATATAGAGAACCTGAAGTAGAAATTTGAAATTTAATAGATCTGAAATTTTAGCATGTGATTCAACTTATACTTTTAGTAGATTTGAGCTTCTTTTTTTAAAAAATTTATTTTATTTATATGAGTCTACTGTAGCTGTTTTTAGACACACCAGAAGAGGGCATCAGATCTCATTACAGATGGTTGTGAGCCACCAGGTGGTTGCTGGGAATTAAACTCAGGACCTCTGGAAGAACAGTCAGTGCTCTTAACCACCAAGCTATCTCTCCAGCCCCAGATTTGAGCTTCTTTTTAAAATTTAGTATTTATTTTCTTAGTACACAGAAGCACTCAGCAAAGTTCACATGGCATTCACTGTATATACTCTTGTATCTATATATATACTCACTGACAAAAACATTAAATGTACTTTGACTACTGAGAAGGTTACGATTCAAATGTATCCAATGTACTGGCACACACATATAGCTACAAGCCAACATGTGAAGGTGTTACAGGTGACTATTGATCCAATAAACATTACATTTCAAACTCTTGAGTTATACTATCCTCATGAGGCAAGGAATAAATGTACTACTATACTTACTAATATAATACAGGTAACTCCAGACATTGCCAGGGAGTGCCAATGAGGTAGTCAAAATAGTATAGTCATGGATCTCTATATCACATGATTGTTGGAAGTCACACCCAGCAAACCTAGACTTCGCAGCACTGGTTTCAAGCTTCATTGTCATTTTCCTGCTAAGATGTTTGTTCCATTTTTCATGTTTTCAAGGCCTCCCCTATATTTTCCATCATTTTCTACTCTTACCTTTGTCTACTCAACTGCAACACAGAATAACTTAAAGTTTAAGAAAAAAATTGAGAAAGAAAAAGAAAACAAATCAACTGCTATTTATCTGTCTCTCATATGGTGAGCATTGAGAAGATATACCTTTTTTACAGAGTATTAAAGGTCCTATGAGTCCTGATGCAATATCTTCTGGAGCATTAACATGGGAATGGTAAATCCTGGTCACACAATTGCTGTCTCCCTCACCAGGACTTTGGTCATTGGCGTGTAGCACATACAAACACTGTTGTCCAGGAAACACTTTGTCATCGGCTTTTTGAAAATCAGTGGTGTTGTCAGGGTAGATGGCCCCTGGAAAGCATCAGGAAGTGGATTTAGAAGGTGAGTACATTTGACTATAGTTGAAGGAATAGTCAATCCTCAACATCTCATGGGTGTCCTTTGGACATTTAGTAATGTCCTATTTGGACTCATAAAAAAGAAGAAATGAGAGGCTAATGTCTAGGAAGCCTGTAAGCCTCACAGAAGTGATTACTATTAAGTTGGTAATTGACTGAGTCAAACACAAGAAGCATTTCAGAATAATTGTGACTTTCATGATTTAAGGGAAAGCTCTCACCTTAGGGTCAGGTATAAAAAAGGTTAAGCAAAGTAGCCACCCTCTCATATAATTTGAAAATTCTCATGTAATATTAGATTTGTGTGGGTATGTGTGTCTGTTGTAATTGCAGAACTCAAAAAAATTTTAAAAACACCTAATTTTAGAAATTTTCAAACTTCTACCTTCCTCTAAGTATTGGTGGATTTCCCATGAACTTGTCAGCCCAACTTTAACAGTGGTGAACTGAAAACTATTCTTATTTTTTCCTCCGTAACCCACTCAACTTTATCTTCAGCCATATGATATTATTTCAAAGCAAATTTCAGACATATTTAATTGCCAAATATCTGAGCATGTATCATTAAAAGATAATTTTTTCTTTTAACAAAATTACAAGCCTACTATGGTCTTTTGAAAATTAATATTAACTCTCTTAGTATACCATGGTGCTGTGAAAAAGAAAAAAGGATGGTAGCCACTTGTTAGACTATTAGTAGAACCATGTGGTTCAGAAGAACAGAAAAGAAATAATGCAATGTAGAACTTTGTCCTTTAGTTATGATATGGCCATTGTAATTTTGCAATCAGAGAAGCTGTGATTATTTACAGGAGACACACAACACTGGGCCCAGAGAGATGACTTATCTGAAGGAAGCGGTGTTCCAGGGCAGCCCTGTCCTCCCGTAGGATACTGCTTGTGCGTTGCCATGCTCCTGCAACTAAACCTAGATAAACTCACTGATCATGCAAAACTTAGGTAGAATCATTTCTTTAATCACTTTTGTGTGTGTGTGCATGTGTGTGTGCATGTGTGGTTATGGTGTATATGTGGAGATAAGCTGACAACGTACCTTTCCTTTCACCATGTGACTGCATAAAGGTTCTCAACCTGTGTGTCTGATATATGAGACTATTCAGGCCACCTTATCTGAGTTGGAGTTTATGAGAGGTCAGAATGGAAGGTGATAGCAGCTACAATATGATCAGTGGAAGAATTCCCAATATAAGTCAACTTCCACCCTGAAGCCTTCTCTTCCCTGACTTCATGCCACTTCTAAGTCGTCAGGCACGTCCTCTGCTCCACACATTCTCATATTCTTCCTCTATTCCATGAGGAATTAAGTGCTGGTGATCCAGCTGTGGCTCTCACTATCAGCTTGCAGTCTATTTAGTCATGTGTGGTATTCCCACTACACTAAGTCACACAACCAGAAGAAACACAGCACTGTTGTGATGAGTTCCAATTCCATTATAAAATAGATTGATGTTAAGGTATGTGGTTATAGGTTCTATCTAACGGTGTCAATTCTAGAAGTCAAAAGGTTTTCCTACTGAAGACAGTAAATTCTAACTGCAATATACATTGAACTTACCCTCAGACTCCTTGGAGTAAGTTACCCCATGTGCATGAAAAGTATAGGGCCTAGAGGCAAAGTTCTTTAAGTGAACATAAACTTTATCTCCAACTTCAGCTTTGATGACAGGGCCTAACAACCCTAGCCATGCTGGCTTGTCTATAGTTTTTGTAAAGGTGCCATCTGTGTACTCAGAATAAAGGGCCTTCTTATATCTTCTTCCAATACGATCTGGGCCATTTTGAAGATAGACATCGGACTGTTCCCTGAAAAGGAAAAGATACTTTGATCAGAACCCATCATTTCTGGAGAGAGCATAAGAACTTAGGACAATCAATGATTACACCACATTCAGTCTTTGCCTGTAGTGTAGACCAAACTGAAGGGGGCAAGCTGTTAAATGGCTTTATTATTTTAATTTTATGAGGTATTTCATATACCTCATACATATGGTATATGACATACGGTAGAAAACCACCTCTGAAGATAACATAACATCATGGTGCAAAAATAAAACTAAAGAAAACTGAGTGGAACTAAATTAATTCTATCTTGTAAATTATTTAGTTGTGTGTGTGTGTGTGTGTGTGTGTGTGTGTGTGTGTGTGTGTGTGACTGTGTGCATGCATGCATTCATGTACGCATGAGCACATGACCTGTGGATGTGGGTGTGGAGGCTAGAGATCTATGTTAGGGTCTTTCCACTTTAGTTTTTGAGACAAAGTCTCTCACACTGCAGTCAGTGGAGCTCCGCATTTCAGCTGACAAGTAAGCTCCTCAACCCCACCTGCCAGGGGGTCTCTTCCTCCAGTGGTACATTGTACTCAACTGTGTCCTGCTTTATTTGGGTACTGAGGATCAGAACTCATGTCTTCATGCTTGTACAGTAAGGTCATTTACCCCGATCTTTTTCCCCAGCCCCAGTCTATCGTTTTCATTTCTATTAGGAGCCTTAGAATTGGTTTGTGTAATATACATGGGTCTAAAAATTACCTTTGCATTTCAATTACCACTTGCATTTTAATCTTTTTCTACTATAGAATGTTTATATTCTTGATTAATGCCAGTTAATAATTTGAAAAAATCATTTAAATATACCAACATAATAAATAGAATCAGAAAAGAAGAAAAAGAAAAGAAAGAAGAGGATATATCTGATATTTGTACCTAAACTGAACTTACAAAGTTAGTTTTCAGTGGGATCTGTTAGTGAATGGTGCCATGAAGCCATTCAGAAAGACTCAATGAAATCCTGATCTTAGTAAGATTCTCCACAACCAAGGTCTTGCATTTGTGTCTGTGTATGTCTGTGCTGTCTGTTATAGACCATCAGTTTTCAATACTTTACCATGTTCTACTTAATCATCACAGAGTAGGATAGTGTGATTGAAAAGTTAACTTTATTATATTTCCTGGGTTGAGATAATCAGCAAAGGTCAGCTAAATTTTTTTTCATGTTTCAAGACAAAAATTGGGCTAGTTGGGGCTCTGAAACTGTCACAAAAGTTGAAGACATGATTGTCAAAAGTCTATGACTCTAGCTTCATGTTGTCTAAATATTAACCTGAAGAGTTAGTTACTAAGGCGCTATGTGATATACAAATGCATTTCTAACCTCAGTTTGTTGATTCTGACTAGGGACAAAGGAGAGTGGAACACAGACACCTGTGTATTTTAACATACAGGCTAGTGTATTCTGGTCCAAGGCATCTATTCTGGACTTGTGAGAACCTGTATGTAAGGTTGAAAGTGATGAGAAGCCAGTGCAGATGAAGTGGGAGTCCTTGATTTTACGATAAAGGAATATGGAAAGTTCTGTTTTCTGCTGGTACCATGGTGGTGCTAGATCTTTTCATTTTATGGTTGTACAGATGAAACATGGAAATTGTGTCAGGAATCACTGCTACTTGGCAGTGTTTCTGGTGGCTGAATTTGGGTAAAAGGAGCAAGCAACTGGTAGAAACAGATCCTCATCCCTCTAGATAGACTAAGGACTTCTAGGGTGACAGTCTCAGAGACAACCATATACTACTGACTTCTAACATCCCTGATTGTCTAAAACCACCAGGACTCTCAAAGGAGGCAAAATTTCATATTGAAAAATGATGGAGATGGTGTTTCTTGCTTCTCCACACCCACCCTGGTGTGATACTTACACCAAAAGTAAAAAATAAAAAAAAGTAAAAAGTAAAAAATACATTAACTGTAGAATGGCAAAATTCTGCCCAAACACTTCCTCTGGTGTGTCCTGCTTGTGTTACCTTATAATTGTTCCACAATTCTTGTGTTAAGGAAAAGCAGAGAGAAAAACTAAGATGGCTTGGAGAGCTCAGAAAATCCACGAATAAAGAACAGAACATAGATCTGAACTCTGCCCCAAACCCACAGAGTTAGTGTGGACAGGAGAAGTCCTAATAAATATGTGCTTTAACAGCATCTAGGCTGTGTGGCACTGAAGACCTCTGAGATCCAGACTGTCTGTTGTGTTGACAGGAGCCCATAGGGGACAAATTCAGTCATGGCCAGCTGCAGCTGATGTCTTCCTTCCCGTCTAGCCAGAGGAACCCTGGACTAATCTCAAGCACATTTGGCTAAACCTCAGAATAAATTGTCTCTGGGGTTTGACACCATTTCTAGGAAACTTGTCTGAAAAAATTAGCAAAGATCCTATCTACCTTGCCCTGTTGACCCACATTTTCCACAAGTCCAGGTTTTAAAGCAGCCTTCAAATCCTTAAGGCTTTATTGAAACACCTTATGCATCCATTTTCCTGAATGTGACTCTACAGCACCCAGGACTCCATACCATCCCTCTACCTGACACTTGTATTGGGCTCTTTCTTAATATAATCCTAAACTTGTTTATTTCTGCTTTGCTTTGTCTATAACACAAGGAAGAGAACTACACATGTCTGGTGCCATTTCGTCATGCCTCATGTACTGACTCAAACATAACACTGATTTAGGACAAAGGACATAGAAAAAAAGCTGCTACCACACTCCTCTGGTAAAATTCAGCATAACATGAGCAAATGTTACTGATGATGCAGTCAGTGTTTGTGTAGATGGGGAGAGAAAACTTACGGATTCTAAGATGTTGATGAAGTCACAGGAGACTGTAGAATAATAATTAAAAAGAAAGATGAATGCAACTGAAAAACTGAATGCCGTATTTTCCTTCTGAGTACCCTTGAGTGTCCCTATTAAGTAAGAACAGGGTAACAAGCCTATCTTCCATGACATTAGAATATTTAAAAGAAAGAAATCTCTCCCTGAAGTTCTTATCAACCTTCATTCTTCTACTTCCTCGTACCTAGAGTTTATCACATTGGAACATGGCCAGTATATTGCAGTTTATACTCAATGGACTGACTTGATTTTTTTTATTCTATACAATAGCAGGGGCAGGTAGAGCAATGAGTAGAACAGCTTTCTAATCAATTAGGTACCATTGAGGTACATACTCAGTCCAGTACTTTTTTTTGTTGTGTGCCTGACCCCTTCCCTTGGAAATAAACAATATGTACTTAATCAGGAAAACAAAGAACCACACACAATTAGGCTTCTCCAAAGAAACTGTAAAAGTTAAGACCAACTCTTGGGAAGAGAATACAACCTCAGAACCATGTTTTAACAAATTACAAGTTCTACTTGTCTTTGTAATCAGTTGTCAGTTCAAAACTTTTTTCTTACTGTTTATTACTAGGTTAATAAAGTAATAATCAGATATTATTATTAGCACTGCATTTTCCTCACCATGAAAAATTTAGCCATATATAAAATTAAACAAAATAATATGTACCCATAAATGATTCTGTGGTTACATAATTTGGCTAAATAAGAGAGCTGTTTTACAATGACAGTCTCAGTAGCTGCTGTTCATTTCACTCATTTGAGTTCTCTTGTCATTCTAATACATTTGCTAATATAGTAGATATTTGTTTTGAATACCAAGTTTCCATTTGTTGGTAAATGTTTAGACTATTAATAGTGATGGCCTCAGCTTAGAGAAACTTCAAGGAGACCCTACTATTCTTCTGTATAAAGAATACTGCTTGATATAAAGCAACTAAAGCACAAAGACATTTAAGTTACATGGTATTTTATCAGGGCCTCACAAAAAGAACATAACATTTCTTGCACATGTTATGTGGGGAGCACTGCACTATACGAGCTTTGCCTGCAGTTTTAAAACAGCCCTGTGGATTGATAACTAGGCTGTCTCGTTTTATAGATAAGGACTCAGAAACTGTGAGAGATTAATATCAATCATTCACTGTCCTGAATCACACAAAAAGCCTTACGCAGAATTACATTTCTTTAAGTAGTATTTTATTTCTATATTTGATATTTTGAAAGATTAAAAATACTGTACTTTCACCATTAGAAACAAGTAATGATATGATAACATTTTATATAGTAATTGTTTAAAGTAAAGAACTTCTGCATCCGGAGGCAGAACACATTTGGGAGATAGATAAAGGAATGAGAAACCATAGAAGAGAGTAAGAAACCAACATAGCTCCCTCAAACCAAGAGAGGGGAAACAAGACAGCTTCACAATAACAAATATTAGGGACATAAAAGAAGCCAATAAAAAGTATTGACTTTCAAGTCAACATTTTCCACTTTCTATGTTTAAATTACTTTTCTTGTTGGCTTCGTTTTCTTTAAGTAACTTATAAATTTGGCCCATAAACAACAAAAAATAGTGACTTACATGTCAACTGAAATAAGTTTCTTTTCTTCAATTCCAGGAGCATAGTCCCAAACATCCTCAGTAATTCCTATGTAATAATGCTTATCTCTTGCCCAGGCTAAAAAACTATACAAAAACAGAAATGTACTAAGCAGGAAAAACTTCATTTTTCTCCCTCTTGGAGCCCGAGACGCAGTAAAGTGAAACCAGAAGCAAGCGAAACCAGAAGCAAGCAGTTTTATAAATAGGGCTTTATTTGCTTGACTGACACAATTTAATGTTGCACAAGAGTAGATAATTTTATTAAAGCAAATAATATCTTCCAACTCCAATTGGTTCTGGTAAACCATGAAGGGGAAAAAAGCAAAACAAAAACAGTTCCCAATGGCCAGGCTTCTCTAACTACAAAGGAATGTCATCTGTTTGTGTTGGACATGCACAGCATGCATAACTCTGCATTTTCTTCCATTCATCCTGAGGATTCCAGGAGGGCAGAGAACATCTCTAAATGCTCCCATTGTTCTTCTAGCAATCCCAAGCACTACAACACCTCACCCAGTGCCAGTTGTTAGTAAGCCAAGGTAAAATGAATCAAAACATGTCTTGTTAACTATTTTAGAAGACTAACAAAAACATACTTGTAATTTTAAAGATATGAAACATTTAGCACATCGTAAAAGTAGTCAATAAAAATTTAATTTTGAAAGTATTTTGTACTTTGTGTTATAGACACTTTATCAAGTTGTCATAGATTGCTATATAGAAATTAAAACCAGGACGTACCAGGAATTGATCATTTTTTTGAATTACAAAAGAAATCAGTCATAAATCGAATAAGCTAGGCATGATGGTGTGTGCTTGTGGTCCCAGTTACTGGGGAAACTGTACATGACAACCTGTTGAACCCAGGATTTTAATACCAGTCTGCATAATGTAATAATATCCTCTGAGAGAGAGGGAGAGGGAGGAAAGGGCGGGAGAGAGGGGCAGCAAAAAAGGAAGAAGAAGAGAATAAGAATCAGAAGTAGTAGCAAGAAAGGGAAAGAGGTAGGAAAGAGAAAGAAACAAAAAGAAAAAAAAACAACCACAAATAAGCCTGTTATTATGATTTTACTCAACTGGAATAAAAAGCTTCATTTATTAACCTAGAGTTTCTCTTTGTAACGTGTGTAAGAGCTTTAAGGTAAAAGACTTTTGGTTAGAACCCTGTTTTTTAGTTGTGGCATGTATCTAAATGTATAAAATGTTTTTAATCCCCTAATGTCAAATACAATCCTGATGATAATAGTTAACATTTTGTGTTAATAAAGCCATTATTATTGTTATTTTCTTCTAGGATACTGTATATCATTAAAGGCTATTTGCTGAAATATACTGGTATCAGAGCAGGTACCCTTACTTAACAAATATTGAAATGAGCTCCATTGTATGCACAGTTCTGTCCTCAGTGGGCAGATAGCAGTGGGTAAAACTCCGCTTACATTCCATTTAGAAGGAACTAATTATAAACACATGAACAATGAACTACACAATGTCAGTCATAGATGCTATAGGGTTAAATCAGGGAAGGAGTACAATGAGTACTAGAAAAAAAATGTCAGGATGAAGTTAAAATCGGATGCTGTCAAAATTCTTACCCTTAGCATCAGTTTCCTCATTTGTAAAGGTCAGGCCCGAAGGAAATCATCCACATCAACTGCAATGTCCTTGCAAGCTACCAACAACAGTGTGTGTGTGTGTGTGTGTGTGTGTGTGTGTGTGTGTCTCTGTGTGTGTGTGTGTGTGTGTTGAACACAGGGATTTAGGCATCCTTATGTATAACAGACAAGTGTTCTACTATTGAGCTACTGGGCTATTCTAGCTAGTGATAATCTTGACTATATGACTTGATACAGAAAACTGAATTATAGGAGGTAAGGTGCCCCAAGCCTCTTTCTGGAGCTTCCCCAAACAACTCTTCCTTCACATTCACAGAGAGGACAGGAGTATATCTAAAATTTTGTCCAAACTTCACTGGTCAAGCTCCATGCTTTGTAAGAAACTTCTTCCCAAAAGGCTCTTTCTCCCAAGACAGATGATTTAGAAGGCATCTTCTAGTAGTTCATTCCCTAGAGGGAGGGCTGTGCCTCTAACTATAAAGAAGCCATTTCTTGATCTTACTTGTCTCCATGTTTAAATTTACTGGGGGTTTAAGAAGGCCATAGCAGCCATCTCCACAGTGCCTACTTCCCCCAAATCCCACCAGCCAATAAATAAATGGGATGATATAGGTTCCAGAGGAGCCCTATAGCTATAGAACCCTTCACAGTGATGGTGGAACTAAATGATTAAACACTAACCCTAGTTGGTGCCAGTGAGTCCCTTATACGGGAAATCATTAAGCCTGAACTGTCCAATTTTATGTTGATTATTTTTCCCACTGAGAACTGTGTGGCTTGCTGTGTGGCAGTAATTGGGGAAAATCCCATAAGCTTTCTGGCTACTTACATAACAAGGAAAAGTTCCAAGCAACCAGTTGTTTGCCGAGACATTAAACACCACACACCACTCCCCAGAGCCATTCCAGAGTTTATATGGTAAAAGGAAACGTCGGGTAATAGTGTAGTTGAGAATTCTCTGCACTCAAAAAGTGCAGCACAACAATATAGACTGAGCTGACCAGAAATATGAACAGGAATATAAGAGGGAGCTGAGCACACACAGGACAAAGCAAAGGAGGCATCCCAAGCCTCGAGCATCATGTGTGTAATCTAACTGCTTGGTGATGTCAGTACTGTTGCAGGCAAAAGTTTCAATCATTTCTCAAAAGTTCTTTCCATTGTCTTAAAGATTTGTGGACAGAGGGAGTCTGTTCTATATTCAGTATCAAGATTCTGAAGTTGATAATGGTTAAAACCAAGGGGGAAAGCCAAGGCTGTCTTACCAATCTCACTTTAGTTTATTTCTGTCAGGTTGAAATTTCTCTCAACTTCCAATATTTCTGTCCATATTTCTTGTGGGTATAGTAAAAATTATTTACCTCTGTGCCAAGAGAATTACTGAAAGACGACTTAGCATTAAGGGCTGTCCTTCACTCTGACAGCAGGAGATTTTGTATAGAAGAACAGAGTATTTTCCCCAGAACAGTCTTACCATCACCCTGCTGACTTTTACAGAGGAAGTTGTGCAACTCTGGAATTTTATCTTTGGTGGGACCACCTACAGACCTTTCATTATGAGTACACAATGTTAGCCAAGCACAGTGTGAGCTCTGCCAGGATTTTCTGTTCCACTGACCATTTCATAGCTATTTAGGGATGGAGTTCTCAGAAAGCTCTGATTGCTTCAGACTCCTTTGAACGCCTAGTGATATAGGTCATGGCCCTGTCTATTCATTCTGGCAAGCAAAGCCGTCACAGCAGAGAAGAAAAGTCTTGTTGCTGCCAAAGCTAACAGTACAATGTGAAACAAAAGGAGCCTTTTTTTTTTTTTAAGTAGTAGAAGGGCGTCAATTTATTTTTCATTTTCTTATTACTTTGAATGATATAGTCACAAAGCTTATCAACAGTGAACAAAACATCAAAGACTGAAGTTGGTAAGTTTATGTTATGGTTATGTTTGTTTTTTAAGACAGGGTCTCAATCTGTAACTCAGGATGGCCTGGCACTCACTAGCTTGGAACTCATGTGAACCGTTCTGTCTCAACCTCCTAAGGGCTGGGATTACAGGAAGGAGTGACTGTATCTAACTAAAGACTTTTCTTGAGGTTAGAGGATGTGAGGTAGATTATTACTATGTAGCCTTGGAGAGCCTGGAACTTTCTGTATAGACCACACTATACAAATTCATAACATTGTGGTTGCTCTGCCTCTGTCTCCCAATTGCTGAGACTATAGGCAGGAGCCACCACTAATTATCCACTGACTAATGCAGTTATTTTGTAAAATAGAAATATACCCATTAGACTTGGTTACCTCAAATGTCAGTGGGAAACATGAACTATTCTTGATCTCAACATATCTGACTCCATTTCTCTTGGTTTCTGCTCTATGATGGGATGGTAAGATTCTCTAAAGTTCATAAATATTACTTTGTGCTAGAATTTAATTTGTAAAAAGAAATTGAGCGATGACATAGACCAGAGCACCTCAAGTTTTGAAAAGCTTATTGATGCTCACAGTTCCCCCTTGAAACAAGAGGGCAGCATACTGCACAAAGGCCTTGCAGGGAAAGCACTGAGGTTGATCAGGAGAAAGAAGCAGAGGTAAAGAGAAATGTAGGTCACTGGCCTTTACTGGTAGCACAAGGCAAACAGTTTAAAATTGGCTAATAAGATTTAAAAAAAGAAAAAAGAAAGAAAAAACATGTCTAGTTCATTTAAGGGCAGCAGTGCTGTCCCTATGTCCAGTATCTTGCCCTCTGATGAGTTTGGATGGAGAAAACAGTGGCTTGGACAGAAGAATTTAATCAAGCAGGCTTTTAGGAGTGTGAAAGACCTGTTTGCCAGGAAGTTCTTTACTAACCTTGTGAATTAACTTGCTTTGGAAAGGTAGTATTTCTCTGCTCAGAAAAATCTTCCTTCCCCAAATTGTTATTGCATATAAAATATGAAAAATTCTACAAACCAGTACATACTTCTTTTTTATAATTACTTTCATTTTTTATAATCCATTTGTTTCCTCCCCCTCCAGGTCTGCCCTCCCACAGTTTCTCTTCCCATTCCTCCTCCCAACTCCAAGAGGATGTCTTCCATGCCCCACTAGGCCTCCCCACTCTTTGGGGCCTGAAGTCTCTCTAGGGTTAGGCACATCTTCTCCTACTGAGACCAGACCAGGAAGTCCTCTGCTGTATATGTGTTGGGGGCCTTGGACCAGCTCATGTCTGGTTGGTGGATCAGTGTCTGAGAGATCCCAAGGGTCTTGGTTAGTTGAGACTGCTGGTCTCAACTATAGGGAATTGCCCTTCTCCTCAGCTTCTTCCAGCCTTTCCCTAATTCAACCACAGGGGTCCCTGCCTTTATTCCAATGGTTGGGTGTAAGTATCTATGTCTGTCTCAAAAGGATATACTTCATATTAGAAGTAATGTGTATCTGACTGTCCCTTCATTGGATCAAACCTGTTTTGTATTAAATCCTAAGTACTTGGACTGATGCTTGACATACAGTTTAATCAATACTGAAAAAAATGTTAACTACCATAATAACCACATTTCTTGTATTATCACTGTTTGTAAAGCTCT